GTAACAGTTTGCTAAAAGTCCCTAAACGTAATATACGATGTGCAATTTCGCTTTCAGCTGTATAAGGTGCGTAGTCATGTGTGTTCGTTGTTCTTCTGTTTCGAGGCGTCCCGCCGTCCAGTAAGGAATCCACAGCTGCGACCGAAATATTTCGAGGCACATTTATTGCACAGATGCTAAAACGGAATTAAGTACAGCACTGCACCTGCATACGCGCAAAAATAAAACATTGGCAAAATCATTTCGTCAACCTCGCCCACAGCTGCAGTTGCACATCGCCAGCACCTCTCTGTCATCTGTGCACGATCTCATCACTTCATTATTACATGCTTGGCCGCACACCTTCTTGGGAATGGGCTTTATCACTAACTTTATCACTATCACTTCTTGGGAATGGTCACTAAGATATATCTTTACAAGTGTACGCATTGACCCACATAATTACGCATTCAACATGCCAAGTTGGATCAGCTGTTCACTGAAAGTAAAGTTGTTCACTGATTTAAGAAATATAAGCTACTTAGGTGGCCCCCAGCAATCATTACCTTCATTTTTACATATTCAATGCTTCTCACGCAAGCAAGATGAAAATGTGAAATAAAGCTTCGAAAAATGTTGGCACTCAACAGGCTGGATAACTTGTTGGGAACCACGAAGTGTCCGAAGCTTTCTTCCTCCTTGAGACGACGTTCAAATGCTCGTTCTATATGTCCCAGCATCTGTAATGACAATGTGGTCATGATGTTTAAAATTTTAAACTGATTTAAAACAAAACAAATGTCCATCTACAGCGAACAAACTAATGACATAATGCCATTGTCGCACCCGGAACCATGCAGAAATAAATGAAACTTCAAATTAATATATAGGAAGCCTCATTCTTTTGTTTTATTATCCTCCGTCTGTTCGAGGACCGCCAAAGACCATTTTCAAGATTAAACCCAATTGTTACACTTTAAATAAGCAGTTGTGCACAAATCGAAGTGGAGCTAGGTGTATACCATTAACTTCATTAAAACCGTACTTGTTCGGGGGAAAGCATATGTTTTTACTGCGAGAACGAGCCTGCAAACTAACAGCTATGGGCAGCAGAAGTTTAATGGTAAGTTCGCTGAGCAAATAAAACTGAGTACGGGAGATACATACTCACCTGCCTTATCTTGAAAAAAAAATAATGAACAAACAAAAACTTGTGGTCTTGGCATTTGCGCTGTTCGTGCACCATCGGGATATGGCCACGTAAAATGCACCTCTCAACAGTCTCTGAAAGTTCGCACCAAAATATCCATCGAGTTCGACAGGCGCGCGGAACGCCGGAGCGCGAAACTACGCTCGCACGACCCTTGGGTAAACAAAACCACGCCGACCACGCGACGCCGCCGTCCGCCGTTACGAAGTTTCAAATTTGGGCAAGGGTAGAGCGAAGGGGGGGGGGGGGGGGGGGGGGGGGGGGGGCAGCGGCGCCTTCCAGGGCACCGGCGAGGCCAGCGGGTCGGTTTAGAGTTTTGGTTTTAGACCGAAAACAGAACGAACAGAAAGAAATATATAAAATAAATTGCATTTTATTTTCATGGTGCCGTGAAGACGTTTTGTTGAAATTACTGTTAGCGGACAAAGTTTTATATTTGTATTTTTGTATTAATGAGAGCCCCCCCCACCACCTAAGCGCTGCTGCCGGTGGCGACGCTATGCACAGCGCCGCTGATGGTGGCGACGCTAATGTCAGCGCCGCGAAACTGGGACTGTGACCGGGGGTTACTACAGCGTGTGCACTAAGGCCCCTATTCCACTTTGGACGGTCCGCATAAACTGGGCTCTTAACGTATCGCGCCAGGATTTACTATAAGAGATGCCCAAAGATGGTGGAAGCTTACACTAAAATTGGGGATAGATTGGCTCACCTGAGTAAATCACGAAAGATCAAAAACGACGTTTTCCATATAGTTTACATGCACACTTAGAAAATATTTCGTGCCACTGTGGCGCTTATTTGGGATAAATGAACTGAAACAGTTCACCGATTTTTCAGTCGTAATAAACACCAGACTAGCACAAAACGATTTCTGAATGATTTTTAGAAAAAGAAAAGATGCTTAGAGATAATTTTTGTATGGATAAAACCAGTCCTTTCTTCTTGTTTTTTTTTTGTTTTTTTTTAATATTGACTTGGGAGGTTTTATGTATTCATACTCTCAATTAATGAATTGAGAGTATGGAATGGCGACCATCGGGCACCTCTGTAGTAAATCCCAGCGCGAGAAATGAGAGAAACCGATCTTTGGCGGACCGTCCAAAATGGGATCGAATCGTTTGTGTACACGCGGTGCTTAGTGCCGGCTGAACCAGGTGCCGCTACTGTAGCAGCAAAAACCCCCTGCGATGAAACTAGGGATGTCGCGAACTACCCTAGGTTCGATTTCGAAAGGTTTCGATATTTGCGAAGCGAACTGAGATTCGATTTCGAAAAATTTCGATATTTTCGTACCGACCGAGGTTCGATTTCGAAAAATTCGCAACTTTTGTCCACAGCGGAGTTTCGAATTCGAAAAGTTCGAAACTTTCACGGTTTCTAAAATTTCGAATTCGAATATTTCGAATATTTTTTTACTTCAGGTTCGATAAATTCGAAGATTTCGAAATTCTTTGTACAAAAAATTCGAAAACTTCGAACGCTTCGAATTTTTATAGACATGAAGTTCGAACAATTTGAAGATTTCGAATTTTTTTTTCCATGAAGTTCGAAAAGTTCGAAGGTTTCGATTCTCTTTTAACGCTAAATGAAAAAAAAAAAAAAAAAAAAAAAAAAAAACTTTGAAGATTTTGAATTTCTTTCTAATCCAAGTTTTCAAAGTTCGAAGTCCGATTTTCAAGTTTTTCCACAGTTTCAGTTTCAAATAATGTTTTCACGACTCACTGGTTTTCACAAAATCAAGTTTAGGAAAGTCCGGGTGTGATGTCTAGACTCTGTGAAGTTGGTCAGGCAATTAAATGAGACGACGAGTGTCCCGGACGTGCTATAATATTTGCCAGTGCAGAATTGTGACCGCCAGCCCCGGGGGGGGGGGGGGGGGGGGGTCTTTAACCTGCATCACGCAGTAGTGATCACACGAACACACTGTTTTACGAGACTCTTACAGTTCGAAACGGTCAGGGGCGAGCAGGAGGTTGAGGCTCAGAAAAACCGTGAAGCGAACTAGCAAACTAGCTCGCCTGGCAAACTAGCTCGCCACCCCTTGCACGCTGGTAGTAATCCGATCCGGTGAAGTTTATAATTGTCCTGGAGGTTTATTTTCTGGGACGGAGGAATCGCCTCGCGAAAAGCACAAAAGCCGACACAACTCGAGGTCGAGGAGCGTTCTACCATACAAGTAATACAAGTGGCGTCGGAAGAGGAAAAACGGGTGGAAAGAGGGTAGCGGGGGGGGGGGGGGGGGGGGGGGGGGCTTTAGCCTCTTTCTTTTCTTGCAGGTATTTCGGACTGTTAAAGAAAACAATACGGGGAAAGAGGGCGTGGTCGAGCTTATTGTAATCTGAAATTATTTATCCATATGTATAGCTAATGTCGCTCTTCACTGCATAAAAGGTTGCGTAGATGGTCATTGTTAGAAACTCGTTGTCAGAAGGCACTGCTCGTCACATGCTTAGTGGTTCGGAAGTTCAAAGCTGTCTTTTCGACCTAAACACATGTGCCGATAGTAACAAAAGAAAAAAAAAAAAGAATAAATGCAAGAATAAAAAGCAGGAAAAAAAAAAAAAAAACTATCAAGAATTCGTCGAAAGTGCTCTATTCTTGCATATTCAGATGTTCAGAACTTCGAAGCAAGTTTCTTTTACCAATATGTGTACAGGCTAAAAGAAACACGTCCCAGGAACGTGAAGCGACAAAAAAAAAAAAAAAAAGTTTTCTTTTAATGACGTGCTGAACTTGAACACTACTAGAAATCTTCTCCCATGAGTTAATTTATTCCTTACCGTGAAAAAACAATAAATATATTATTTTGTATTCTGCAGATGGCAATGATATGTACTGTCTGTGGTGTTAATTTAAATGCGATACCTCAAACAACTTAGACGAAAATAAATATCAAGTTTAGGTCATAATTGCATGCAGATACATGTTTGGACATTTCTTCGAAACTCACGTTACCTAGGCAATACATAGCTCATTCTTAAAAAAGTATAACTTATCTACCATGAATAGCTCCGGCTGCAGCGTGCTTCAAATCTGGCACAAACGATAATCGTCAAAAACCCGTCGTCCTTCCTCGCCCCTTCGGGGATTTATTTCTTTAAACCTAAGCATGCCAGAACATTAAAATAAACGACATTGTCTTTCGTAAGGAACGCAACACCGCGTGTAAAAATTCGAGAGAAAAAAAATTACGAATGTACCCTACTACTTGAAATCAAATGAAACCGTCCGCCGGTCTTTCGAAGTTCGACGAACGTCAAGCTTTTACCCTAAAAGTTCGAAGTTCGTCGAACTTGTGACTTTTCAGGATTCGAAAGTCCGACACTTTTCGAATTCTCTTGATAAATAAGGTCGAAAGTTCGAAATTCATCGAATTTTTTGGTCAGTCAAGTTCGAAAGTTCGACAAGCATCGAACCTTGCAGCGCAATAAATTCGAAAGTTCGAAAAAGATCGAATTTTTTAGCGTAATAAGTTCGACGGTTCGAAAAGCGTCGAACGTCTTAGCTTAAAAAGTTCGAAAATTCGACCTCCGTCGAATTTTACGATATAGACAATTCGAAAAATCGAAATCTTTCGAACCTTTCGAACCGCTTGATTCGATCATCGAAACTTCGATTCGAAAAAAGTTCGCGGCATCCCTAGATGAAACTCTTGCTCGCGTACGAGTAAACTCTGTCATAACGACAATTTGAATTCCGCGCGCGGTAGAATCAGAAACGCCTCTTCCGACGTCATGGTAGTTCCGCAGGAAAAACCAACCCTTGCTCAACAAAGCAGCAAGAATCCGGGTGGAGAGGAGGAGTCAGGTCACGTGGTATTGACTCGTCGTGTGCGGAAATAGCACGGACTTGGCTTGAGGGGAGAAGTCGGGACGCGAATGATCGTGGTCTTTGAGTGCCCACAGGTTTTGAGCTGGATTTTGCTCTAGTTGCGTTGTCAGCTGATCTTCGGTAACAAGCTACCAAGTAGGTACACTTCTGTTCTCGGCGAGATTTAAGCCACTAGGACTAGGAAATGCTCTCGCAAAGCTAGAGCGCTTTCAAGGGCTCCGCTTTTGATAGTTTAAACGCGTACATCACCAGACTGAAGAATCTAGCCCAAACTTGTGCGTGGATATTTTTGTGTAGAGATTGTTTATGGTCCAACGACCTTAGCGGGCTTCTTTCGGGGGATCTGTAGTTGTGCCGCGGAAAAAATCGCCCCGGTTTGTGGGTTGGGCTCAGGCAGGTACGGGACGCCGAGCACGGAGATAGGACAAATAGGCTGCGGGGTTAGCGCTATGGCCCCGAGATGGCGCTAGTTGTCCATGCCGTTTATAGATTTGCTCTGAATACTCGTCTCGTTTGCTCGCTCGGTTATATTTTCGCAGTAGTTATTATTCCTTCTAGGCCAGTCAAAGGTGAGCTTTGCGTGCGGCATAATATATGGTCTATGTTTGTGACACCACTGTTTGAGTGTCAGACCAACCGCGACTTCAAAGTTTCGTGCGGAACAGCACCCGTAACGATGTCGCGCATACATACATGATGCTTCGAATATTGACGTCATGCATGACGTTTTTGTTTTGGTTGGGTTTATCTGCTCTTTACGGCTTTGTCGATTGCTGGCGGTTGACGCAAATGAGACGTATTGAAAGAAAACGAACCGTTATTCGTTTTAAGGGTAATTAATTTAACGGATTCTCTTATTAGATATCTTCGCCATTTGGGTGTAGTTTCTATGTTTTTAGTAGAACAGAAACTTGAAGGTCGTTTCCTAACACCTGATCATAAACTTGTAGTATGTAAATAGCGCGACATTGCGCAAAAATGCGACATCGGCTCTTTTTTATAGCTTAGACTACTGCCCTGAATGAGGAAGTTTTATGTTTTATGACAGCCATTTATTTTTTGTAAGAGAGAAATAAAAATGGACAAACATTGGTGATAGATCTTTCACGCCAAGTGTCGTGCTGTGGATGTGAGATGTGCCTTTCATTGCGGACACATTCTTGCAACTGCACTACGCTATTTCGAAACTTCAAGCAATGAAGAAGTCGTTTCCATGGACAGTAGAAGGGCTCTCTTGCACTAGTCGTAATTCATAAGAATTTAACACGAAATACTTAAGGAATTTATTCAGTCTCTTGCATTTGATGGCTTGTGTATTTCTGATCTAATACTTTCAAAATGGCTGCCTTACCACCAGTGGTGTTAAAACAAGGGGGAAGAGGAAGGGGGGCGGGGGGGATCGGGGATATTTCTCCCAAACATTTCTATTAAACGATTGTGGGGTTATGGGAAGGTGGGGAATGTGCAATTCCTGTTTCCATCACTTCCAGACGTATATTCGGAAAAGTTGGTTGTTGTTAGCGATGTAGCTGGAAAAGGAAATCGAGGGCAATCGTGGTGTAGGCTCATAGGCCCGTCTGTCACTGCCTCGTAGTAAAGTTCCTGAATTAAACGGGTTCATTTCGGCACTCTAATTGGCGCATTTTTATGGCGAATTTGTGCAAATTTTCAAAACCTTCAATTATCGCCTCATATAGCGTTCTACTTGATTTGATATCTGTATAACGCACCAAACAGTAGTTAGAAATCGGTCAGTATTTCTCAAGATCATGGTCTGCTCGGTTAATTAGCTTCGTTGAGTGCGCTTCTCGCCTCACTGTCATGCACCGCAGTGGTGCGAGAACCGCGAAGTAGGCATCGCAAATTTCAGTATCTTGCTTCGCCACAGCACACCCACGTGGTGCGGCGAAAAGACTCTCCGACTAAAATGCTGAATCAGTGTGGTCTCCATCCATTAGAAACTATGGAGGATTCCGAGGCTAAAACTGTTGTTTTTTCCCCTTTATAATAGCAATTAAAATTTGACTAGGAGTTGTATCTGAAAAAAGGCCTTAGCGATCACGAAGGTTAAATCATGACGAGGTGGTTCAACCGTGCTACGGTAGAATATATGTTTTTAAATATTCCTTTTTCGCACAAACAATTGAGGAACAGAATGGTCTCCCACAATGAGTTGTAAACTCAACAGATATTTATACTTTTGAGTCGTTTTTGGAACAGTTGTTTTTCCAATAAGAAAATGCCGGGTTGGATGTATATACTAGTATTATTGACAATGTTTCAATTTTCTATGTCATGTGCTAAAACTATTGTAGGACTGTGTATGGTTTTTGTTTCAAGCGTTCACCTCTCCTGTAACGGCCTTCAAATGAGAGCTGACAGTATTGTTAAATTAAAAAGAAAAACTCATCTATTGCGGATTTTTGCACACGAAGGCGTGGGCTATATTACTATAAAAAAAAAAAAGACTGATGTTAGTGTTGATGTAACAATTCTACCTTTCAGTAAACATTTCTCAATAAAACTATGGCTAGTAATTATGATTATTTTTACGATTTTGTTTCTCAAATGGGAGATTTAGCCAGAATAGGTGGGTATTCTAAGAAGATTTACATGGACTGTTCTGTAAGTTTTGTTTTTCATGCCATCTGTCTTGTTTATTTTTCACCCTTATTTAAGTTCATTCTGTGCCATGACAGAATGAATAGAGTATATTAAGACTAAATTAGCTGGGGAACTGCATGAAAACTTCATTTATTGTTCACATCCTAATTTGTGTTATGAAGTTCTACACATAAAATCTAATTGATGCTTATATACCAAAGGCAAAAGCTTTGCTTTTATCTTACTTAGGATTCAGTTTTATTAAAACCCTTAGAACTTCACTAGACATCAATTTAGGTTTTAATGTTCTTTTTTAGCGTTATTTCCAAGGAATATTTAATTTGGTTTACGTTTGACTTCATACCTAAAACAACCGCCCACAGCAATTCATACAGTCCCTCATCAGTCAGCATCATTGTTACTGTGCTTGGTGTTTCTATCCACAACTAAACAGCTAGTCCTGTGTTTGAGGGAACCAAACCTGCCGTGGAATTTTTAGTCATAAAGGTTTTACAGTAGTCGGAAGGCAATGTAGACAATCCCTAAGAGGGGCAGATAAACATACGAATATTAACATATAATTAGGGTTTTCGTTTTGGGGTAAAAACCCTATATTCCTTGATTTGTGCACCCCAAACAGTTTTTATGAAAAACGGATTAAACCCGATTTCTCCCCCGAAGACTGGTCTTGGAATTAGCTGAATTTATGGAAAATAAGAACAATTCTGGATCTGCTTCAGAACTGCTTCCTGGGTCACTCGTTTGATGGTAACAAACTCCTTAGATTTGCGTTACCTCTCTTCTCATATATTTGCTTCCGAATCAGTCCGAAGGAGGAAACATACTGTAAGATCGAGCACCATGGCTATATCAGTAACTTAGATGACTTTTGTGTGTGTAAATAACACATCTCAGGTATTTGCCCTTCATAAATAAGACCCAAGAAGACCCCATTTTCTAATGGCTTCAGAAAGACCCAATTTCTCCCCAATTATCTGCCTGAAAAATAGTGCCCGATTTTTACACCCCGACTTTTGAAAAATATAAAACCCGAAAACGAAGAACCCTAGATATAATATATGCACTAAAAGGAATGAAATTGAACGTTAAGCCTATGCTCCTAAGGTTCATTTTGCTGCTCCAGAATGAACTTTTGGCTGCTCCAAAAGGTGCTCCAAATTGGCAGAAACAAATCGCATCACTGGGCGTGATTGGCACATGAAAATCGTCAATCAGAGTGCCGAAACTGGTCAGTTGAGTTACTTCACAAGCTTTTCCTAATATGTCTCCCAAACAATTTTGGCGGCCCTGTTTACCACAACCATTAACGAGACAAATTGAAACTTGGGGGAATACAATAAAAACACTCGGCAAAGAAGAACCTTGTGGGTTCTCGGTGTGGATGCTTTTACTACACTGAGCAATGAAAACTAATATTTGGTTTATATATATTAACTATATATATTATACATATAAACTATATTTATAACCGAATATTAATTTTATTGATCAGTGTGAACTGATCAATAAAATTAATATTCGGTTACATCCCAAGCAGCAAAAGATTTTGGCCAGGCAATGGCCAATGACTGGGGATGGTCTTGTGGCCAGTGGCCAAAGAGTGGCCATTCACCAGCCAATGTTTAGCCTATGACTAATGGCCAGTGGCCTTTGGCCAATGGCCAGGGAAAGGCCAGTCATCGGCCAATCTCTGGCCACTCTCTGGCCACTGGCCAAAGGACCATTGCAAGCCATTTGCCAATGCTTGGCCAACTCTGTGCCGCTAGGGATAGTATGTCAGTGTTTCTCAGTAAACAATGAAAAGAAGAAACCCAATGTGTTTTAGGTGGTGCAGCATTGACACGCACTTGTTTGTTTGCACAGCTCAAATCCAGGATGGGTTTGCTGCCAGATGGCTTCATTGTGGTCCTCGTGCTTTTGGCACCTGTGCTGATTGCCATCATCGTTGCGTGTTGCATACGTCGTCGCCGAATGCTGCAGCAGCTTGCCCAGGTATGTGTTCCTTGGCATAATGCCTGCTACAAACGTCTCTGGTAATATATGCTTTATTCATTGTTGCCTGTGCATTTTATTCTGCTCAATTGGGGCTAGATCAAAGAAAAATAAGCAGTTGGCTATATAGACAGCAAATTCTTATTGAGATTGGCTTTTTCAGAGTTTTGCCTATCGGTAGCATGTATAATTCTCTATAAAAACAACCAAAGTTTTTTTTTTTTTTTTTTTTCATGTAAATGTTGTGTTCTGAATTATGTGGTATTTGTTCTTATTGAGAACAGCCCATTTCAGAAACTGTTTCTGTGAATCTGGTAGAACTACTAGTTCAATTATACATTTCAACAGGTTTTGTAACATTGCCTTTCATGATTAGTACTTTTATTTAATCTCTCATCTGCTTAACAGGCAGAGATCCAAAACAGTTTGAACCATTGTGTCAACAGTTTCCATATAACTATAGGTGTGCATTTTGAGGACAGTGACACCAGTTATGCAGGCTAAGTCGATTATGTTAATCAAGCAAAAAGTATACCAATAACAAGGCAACACAACAAATGTTGTAGGCCTAACTAACCGAGCTTCTGTGTCCTTGTGTATCTAATATCCTAGCAGGCAAATCAGCCACTGATGCCAGGGCAGCCGCCAGGACCGATTACAGCCGGTTCCGTGCCCCAGGGACCACCGTACGCCGCTGCACCTAAGCCACTTGGCCCCGGTGAACAGTGGCCTCAGGCCCCATACTACCAGCAACAACCTTACCCTCCTCAGCAGCCATACCCGCCTCAACAACAACCGTACCCGCCTCAACAGCCGTACCCACCACAACAGCCACAGTACCCCCCTCAGCAGCCATACCCCCCTCAGCAGCAGCCGTATCCGCCCCAGCAGCCATACGCTCCTCAGCAGCAGGCGTATCCGCCCCAGCAGCCAATGCCGTATGGCCCTCCCAGCAGCGATCCATCTGCACCTCCTGTTGCACCACAGGAACCGCCGCCACCGTACGACTTCAGGGAGGCGCCTCGTTACTGAGTGGTGATTGGGTGAACAGTGAGATGAAATCATCAACTACTCTTTGGTGAATTCTTCGGTGAACCCTTTCATGTGGACCTTCAGGGAGAACTCTGTAACTTACAAGACTTTGGTGTTTCCTGGAAGCGGTGCATGATGCAGCACTTCTGGAGCCCGTATATGGCCAGCTTACCCACCTGGGTGTATTGCTTAACAGATCTTATGCAGGGGACACTGGTGAATGTCTCGAAGTTGTGAATGGTTTTGAGGGTGCCTGCAAGAATGTCAGAATGCGCCTTTGGTCTGTCAGAAGTCCAGGACTGCCATGCCCACCGTTGTGGGCATCACCCATTTTGGTGCTGGTGAGGAAAAAAGATAGCTGTTGCAGTCATCACACGAGGCACGACAATCAAATCCCGTGCGAGTTTTTTTGTTTGTTTGAGTAGCTTGCAATTTGCAGCTGCATCTCGCTCTTGAGCACTCGGTGGCATGCAACCAAATAGCCAAGTCTTCGATGAGCGCCTCGCACTCTACAAATCGTCGGGTGCCTCTAGTTCTGGCCTGGAGAAGGTTTTTTTTTTTTGTCCTGTAATTTGCCATCAGCAGTGTTGTATGTACTGTATACTGCACTGCTTCAGTAAGCCACGACATGACTATAATGCTACATAAGCTGTTCAACAACCTTTCCATAAAGGGCATTTGTTTTCTCAGTGTGCGTCAGGCACATAGCCAGGGGGGAGGCCCATGGGGCCCGGGACCCCCCCGAAATCTTCCGTTTTGCTGGGATCTCCTCTCCCCCCTCCCCCTCATACAGTATTTTGTCATGGGCGGGCCCCCCCGAAACAGAATCCTGGCTACTTGCCTGGTGTGCGTTACACCAATACCACTTAGAGGACATGGCCTTCGCCTTTCCCCCCTAAATGTTATCCCTAGTGGATTTACACAGTGTCGCCTAGCTTGCACGCCTCGCAGCGTCTCACAATGATCGTGACGGCAGCTAGGACCGACGCCAAACAGACGCGTCTGCTGCTTTGCAGCATACCCTCATCGAGCTTCAGTGCGTTTGTCGCTGGGGGCGGGTTGGGGATTCACTAACCATAACGTAATGCGAAAGCCTTGTCTTCTAGGTGGTATTGGTCACACACTGTGACCATGTCAAAGTGTACAAGTGAATGATATTGGGGCGCCTGAAATGCACTTCATACTTTTCCTGGAGAATCGTCGCTTCCGTTGCATAACCTCATCTGGGTGTTAACTGGACAAAAGTGAAAAGCCTTTCTACTACATGTGCCTGTAACCTTTGTTCCCCTACTTGTCCTTGCAAAGGAAGATACCTTTGCTTTTAGGGAGCGTGTTTTCAGGGCAGCCATGTTTCGTGAAATGGCTAGCTCCGTCCTTTAAGACACGAATATAATTCTGCAGTCAAGACCTTCCTTGTCACTCACACAAAGTCAATTTCCAAATCCTTTCTGGAGCTTACAAACAACCAACTGAAAGAGGAAGTTGCACATCTACTTTGAGGATGGGGCTTGGAAGCCTACCTGCAGCACCGAGAGTTACTTTGCTTATGTGTTCGAGCAATGATGGGATATACACAAGAACGTGTTTTCAAACTTTGTGTTCAAACATCAGTTCTTGTGTTGAATGAATCGATCAAAATAAATGTAAAAGCTCAAAATACTTTTCAGTTTGTTTTTGTTAGTTTAGAGCTGTAGCCTTTGCACATTCATGAGCCTTACTAATAATAAGGTGAATGCTAGGAATTTTTGTTAATATTTCGTTCTTTCAAGTACTGGTATGCATGTACACTGTCAGTTTTCTGTGCCTTTTTCGTGGGATTTTGTACAATTCAAAGTAATTTCCTATCATTGACGATTTAAAAAAAAAATGGACGCCTGCCAAGTTGTGTCACATGTGAGCTTGTTCATCCCTAAAAAAGGCAGATACGAAATCTCGTATATGTGCTATCACTTTTTGTGAAGTAGTGGGCATATCACCACCATAAAGGAAAATAAACCGTGAAGCCGTGGAAGGGAAGAGGGGGGGGGGGGGGGGAAGAGATGAAACTGCCAGGTTTTTACCAACGGACAAAACCCCATTTGCTGGTTATCATACAGTAGAAGCATTGTTCGATGACACTCTTCGGGCGCCACGAGGGTCGCCGGTTTTTTCAGGACACGTCGCCGCTCGTATCTGATGTCTGCATTGATTAAACGCGAGCAAATGATTGCAACCACGGCAGAAGAGAGATTGTAACAGCTCGTCGTTCGCCTTAAAGCTGACTGGTTCTTAACAGATTATAAATTGAAGTCTCTCCTGTTGGTTATGAATAGCAATCAGCATTTGGACCTCCAGGAACCACAGAAGGAAGCATAAATGATCTACCGAACGTCTGAAATCCTCCATGGTAAAATTTCCATTAAATCTTGTTTACTTTCCCACTGAGGTGTGCTTGCCGTCTACAGCATGTAAACTAACGCTTTTTAGGCACTTTAGATGGCCCGCAAAGATCTGTTTCTCGATGTATCGCGCTGCAATGTACTGCAGAGGTGCAAGCAGGCGGTGAAAATTTGCAGTGAAAAAAATCAAACAAAAACTTCCCACGTTCAAAAAAAAAAAAAAAACTGACTCGGCAATATACGTCACCACATTGCCGGCGATGCACGCCTAGAGGGAAGTGCTGCCAACAGATGGCATACGACGCGCCGAGGTAGCGCAGAGCCGTATATAAAGAGAGTTGGGCCATTCATTGGGAAATATAGGAGGCAAATGAGGAAGTGCCATTGGCCGAAAGCGGGCTGGGCCTGTTCCAGGGCGTCTTTACTGTCGCCAACCAGAAGCCGGAAATGATACCCTGGCGGTGGTCGCGAGAAACGAGACTATTAACTGCGTTGGAGTAGCTCTTGGTGACTGAAAATATGGTGCACGTGATGTTTCAATCCCGGTCATTCAAAATCACGGTGGAAGAGCGCGACTAGCGGAACGATCGACATAATCCGTACGCCAGGCGCCGAAGGCCGGGAATCTGCCGTCCGGTCGGTCACACTTTGTCCGAGCAAAACAGAGTTCAAGCGGCAAATTCGTTTTTTACATCTTTTTGCATGATCTTAATCGAAACATCACGTGAACCACATTTTCAACCATGAAGAGTTACTACATTTAACTCTTACGCTCTTATTAAAACTGTTTCTCGCTACCACCGCTAGGGGTACTTTTCGGCTTCTGGTTGGCCAAGAGAGCATGCCAATTCCCTCTATCTACGTGACTACGTCTGATGCATGCCGTGGCTCTGCCCGCTCCTCCTATTAGGTGGCTGAGGACTCTCGTCCTCAGCCACCTAATAGGCGTATCCGGTATGCGCGACGAAAACATAATCAGACTTTTCAACCTGCAAATAGTAAAAAAAATAAAGGGGAGGCAAAACGAGAAAGTGTGACAGTTACGCTTATATCCTTAACATTGGCCTGGCAAAGGCAAAACAATGTTTTCGCCCATACTGGAAGTGACGTCAATTCAAGATGGCGGCGCACTTGCAGAAAAGGTCTATTACACGGCTCTGAAGGAGCGTAGGCTCTCTAAGGGCTAGCTTACACACTTGCGTGAGTTCGACTAGTTCGACGGCAGCATCCCCTCTGGGCCGACCCTCGGGGAAGGGCCGAGCGTGGATTAGGGCCGAGCGAGCCGGAACTGCCGAGTGCGGGGGCTAGGCCGACGACTGCGAAAGGGCCGGGAGGGGTGTCGAGGCCGAAAGAGAGAGGAAGGCCGGGCACGGCGGCAAGGCTAAGGGAAGCATAAGGGCCGAGAACGGGGGTGGGGATTAGAGCGATTAGTGCACGCGTGGCTCCTTCGTCGTCGCGGGAATTCGTTGGGAAGAAAACCGATAGATGGCGCGCCCTTTTTTCGCTCTTTTCTGTTTGGAGACCTGTTTGGTTTGACGAGTATGGCGTGGAGCACGGTGGAAGAAGAATGTGTTTCTTCCACCGTGGCCTAAAAACCTGTTTTTTTTTTTTTAGCACACATTTTGAGCGACTGAGCAAGCGATTGTCACGGCGGAGTGAAGTCTGGAAAAGCGAAACAACGTAATCCCGCTGCATGAGCTCTCGTAGAGCCGGATCCTCTTGCCGTGCTGTGAACTCGTGCTCTAGCCTTCGCTATAATACACGGGGCTCATAAATTGTCTCAACATATTTGTCTTCTATGTGCTTGCCCCATAGGGTGCGGGCACAAGCCCTGTTTGAATAGAAGCCTCTTGGCTCCTCCCCTCTAGGCTGACTGGCGCAGTGTCTTCAGGCGGCATGGTCGGAAGCTTCATTTCGTCGCGTACTACTATTTCCGACTTTATAAGCCCTCACAGTCAAAAGCAAGAGGCAAAACCTCGAAGTTGTTTTTCTGCACCCCTGCCAACAGAAGAAAAATAAACTTACCATGATCCCACGGATAAATTCGGAGTACACTTGATGTGTGGTGTCTGAGGTGGCCAAACAAAGGTGCAAAATGCTCCTACGAGGGCAGCTAAGCCTATCGCACATATTACACATTCTGTGCACTCCGAATTGTGTGTGCGACCGATCTAGGTAATTTGCAAAGAAAAAGTCTACTAAGCAAACGTTTGGATACAAAACAAATGAGGTGACGGAATGGGATTTGTTACTTTTTGATCCAAAGACCCGACGTGGAATTCTAAATCGAAACCCGGGTCACATCGCTCACACTTCATACAAAAGACAGTATGACAGACACGATCGAGTCACCGCGAGATCCGTGTTTCGAATGCCGCCGGGCCATGTTTCTTCTTCAAACCATTGCCCTGCAGCATTCGAAGCACGGACCTCGCGGTGACTCGCGTTCGAATCTGTCTGCAGACCGTCCTTCGTAGGATTTATGAGCAGTGTGACCCCGGATTAACGTTCAGGTATGAATTTTATCAAAAAAATCCTGGAAGATTACGTAGTCGGGGGCGGTATGTCATAAAGCAAAAGCGACGGAATTACCATGGCGGGGAAGAACAATCAGAGCTGCTTAAAAGAGATGTAAAAAAATTGCAAGGGGCGTAAAAAAAAGAATTAAGATTAATTAACCGCGCTTCTGTGAGAAAGCAATACACCGATCTCACTAAGCGTTCCGCGCATGCGTGACGCCGCCATAACTGTAGTTCATAGGAGGCAGACACCAGTTCACGAGACAGCTCATGCGGCCTCGTGCTCTGCTCGTGCAGATCTCCAGCGTGGTTGTCGCACGTGCATGAAAGACTGCAGCTCCCACGATGCATGGTGGCAGCGGTGGCGTACTCGAACTAGCTGGTGAGATCGGTCTATTGACGTCGCACTGAGTTTCTATTTGCGCACGAGCTCACTAGGTAACCGGACAAAAGCTCATCTAATTTTTTTGGCTATCGGGGCGAAACACAGGCTGGGATAAAGTGCGGACGAGATGGACATTGCACCATTTTAGGAGAACTGGAGAACTGGTATCCCATACGGTATACCATACAAAGGTGTAGACAGATAAGCCATAACAGGCGAAGCGATGATTTGGGACCAAAATTTAGGTCACCCATATTGAGTCGAGCTGATAACATCAAGCTTGCTTCACTCAAGTCATGCCGGAGCACCCTTGTGCCACGCCCAAGGAACTTCGTGAACCGAAGTTTTTGAACCCGAAGAGTGACCGAAGAAGCGAAGTCACCCTTCGGTAACTTCGCTTTTTCAATGTTCTTACGTCAGGCTAAACGCTCACATAAAGGTTAGGCAGAGTCAACTCATCGACATTGCAAGAGCACAGTGGCGTATAACGGACAATGTTAGTTTGGAAATACCTTTAGCTTATTACTGGAAGCATGCTTAAAGGAGCGATGCAACAATTTTTGTACTGTGCACAAATACCGTTTAAAACGGATCCCTAACGTTAATGACCTATGAAACACGCGTTCGTTTTTCACCCCACGCAGTAGAAGTCCCAGAAAAAAATTTAAGAAAAACGAGCAGCGTTCACCCCCTCAACTCGCAGCCAGAACAAGCGGCCACGTGATCTGGAGCCGATTATATGCCGCCAGTGTTGATCATAGCCACACGCTGGGGTTGGCAAAGCGCAGGACACGCGCTGAGTTCCAGACATTGTTATGGCTCGGCTGTTGTCGTCGTTGCAGCGATTGGACACAGGTCACAACCCGAATGCTTCTCGAGCTAGCAATTGTCACGAGCCCAAGTCGAGTGCCCACGCAATGCTCGGGTCCAATCTATGAACCGCATTCAAATATCGTCACTTGGGTGTACTGCGATCCCCGAGTTACGTCATCAAATTTCGCAAAGGAGAGATTGAATGAAAATGATCGCTTTTGTCCTTGAAATTATACCGCAACAAAGGAGTTACTTGGCCAATGGCGTTGCGTGTGAGTATCCTTGAGTCCCAGGTGTTAAGGAAAAGATCCCGGGCACGTCCGTTTCGATGGTGTCGGTTTATCCTTCCTTCTCGCGCCGTTCATGATCTCGTGGTTCTGCGCTCCTCTACCTCCTTTTCCTCTCGTTACCTGCTACCAGATGGCATAATCTACAACAACTTCCCGCGCCGGCCTGGAGATGAGACCATGCATTCCCATACCGCGAGATGAGGAAGTTTAAGACGGTAAAGAGCAGCGCAGAAAACACGAACTCATGAAAGGTCAATGGTGGATACAAAATACA